AATGGGGATAATGATACTGGCCTCCTTTGTAAAGTGCTTTGAGATCTACGGATGAAAACCACACTATAAGAAGGAGGTATTATTATAACTGATCTGTTTCAGCTGATTTAGCTTTCTAGACATGGAAGTATACATGATATAAAGATGAAATACCACTATGTACCATTCATTCTGACATTGTCCTTTCATTCAAAAGGCATTAACTCAGCAAGGGGTGGTCCAGTGAACTGAGCATGGGACTAAGAGCCAGCAGCTGCCAAGTTCTAGGCCCAATTTTGACACTGATCCCCTCTATGGTCTAGGGCAAGTTGTTTAAACTTTGCTGCCTCCATTTCCCAGCTATAAAATGAGGATATCTACACTTACCTATCCAGCTTCTAGGGGTTCCTGGGAGGATGAGTTAATTGGCACTTGGAAAATACTTTGACAATGCTAGGGTACAATAGGAATATAAAACATTGAGCAATACAGAAGTTAATACAAAGAATTACACTTTCATCAAGTTTGAATTTTTCTTTTTTATACCTTAAAGTTAGTTCAACAATTTTAATCTGTGAAAAAGACAATAGGTAAAATTTTCAAAAATCCACCTAAGTGATTTAGGAGCCTACATCCCATTTTCAGAAGTGATTTAAACAACAGGTGCTTTGAAATTTTTATCCTTAAACTCATAAATCATGTAGGCATTAGCCCAGCCACTCCTCCATCATAATGGAGGGGTGGTTGGACCAAACCTGAGTGGCACTAAGACCCCATGCACCATGTCACAATGCCATTTGCTCAAATTTAGATCACCCACCCCTTTGTCATGACGGAGGGGATGGAAGGGTCAAATTTGAGTGGCTTGGGGGGCGCCAAACTGAAGTGTTGCCTAGGGCAGCAGATTGTGTTGAGTGGCCTCTGCTTGGAACTTAGGGATAGCTACATTAATCACATATTTCTCAGTGTTTACTACAGATGGGCCAGAAAGCTCTCCTGGACCCTAACATGCTCAGCCTTTCTATATAAGCAATCTGACCATAAAATGCATATTTGTATAGAGAGGGAAGATAGGGAATACCAAGCCTAAATTCCTACAACACATTGCAGCTTGGTTGCATATCTGGGTGAAATTCCAGGGTATGTCTACACTGCAGTTACAAACCCACCATTGACCCATGCTAGCTGACTCTGGTTTTCAGGGCTCAGGCTAAGGGGCTGTTTAAGTGCAGTGTAGACATTTGGGCTTGGGCTGGAGCCCAGGCTCAAGGACCCTGCAAGGTGGGAAGGTCCCAGAGCTCGGGTTACAGCCCAAGCCCAAATGTCTACACTGCAATTAAACAGCCCCTTAACCTGAGCCAAAGTCAGCTGACATGGGCCAACCACGAGTGCCTACTTGCAGTGTAGACATACCCCAGTCTCAGTGAAACCAATGAGAGTTTTGCCATTGATTTCAATGGGGGCCAGAATCTCACCCCTAATCTTTAGTAGACAGCTCAGTACAGCATACACAATAGGACAGATTCATATTTTCTTCCAGAACCAATTTTTGCCTTTATTAAAATACAATATTTCAAAGCTTTAAAAAAAATACTAACCTTAGATACCAGATGACCAGAGACATTCTGTCTCTTTATCTGTTTTTTCTCCACAATATAAACATTAAGATTCATGTGAATGAAAAAAGAAAACAATAGATGCTAAACTCTACTTTTCATAGACTAGACCACTATTCTGAATGCCTTTTTCAGTCAAAGCTCCCATTGATGGGCAACTCCCACCTTTTCATGTTCTCTGTATGTATATATATCTCCTCACTATATGTTCCATTCTATGCATCCGATGAAGTGGGCTGTAGCCCACGAAAGCTTATGCTCAAATAAATGTGTTAGTCTCTAAGCTGCCACAAGTACTCCTGTTCTTTTTGCAGATACAGACTAACACGGCTGCTACTCTGAAACCTACCATTGATATCACTGAGAGCTTTGTGAAAGAGCTGAGTAAGGCCATCAAGACTGGGACAATACTAAGAAAACTTGATAACTTTATCCTATACCAGTTTTTAGACCCAGGACCTTAGTTATTTCCAGTTGATAAAGATGTACCAGGGTGCTATGCCCTAAGAGTTTTTTCACAATTGGCCATTTTTTATTGCCACTTTGGCTATGCTTCCAAAGTTTTCATTGCTATTGTTAAATTGTGAAATATGTTCAATGGTCCCATATACACCCTTGTTCCATCAGTTCAGAAGCCACCTTTGAGTTCCTCAGATTATAGATCATATAAAGATACATGTGTCTACATTGGACAGGTTCTAAATAAGAATATAGCAGTCAAAGTAGGTTTTTTGTGTGCATTATTTGGAGCTCGGAGAAGAGAGTACAGGAACATCTCATCAATATATACCTCCATATTTTAATAACTGCTTTGACTTCCTAGTTAAATTTTAAATGACTGTTAATAACTGATGCAGTTGGAAATGCTTTGCCAAGAGGAATTATTTGTATATTAAGGTATTTTGGTATCACTGCTGAATGCTAAAGGCAGCCTTAAGAAATCATCTGTTCATAAGTTAAAGCAGTTATATTTATACAGGGTCCTTCTCAAATAAGGTATTGGATGGGGCCTAAACACCAGACTCACTTTACAGCACATTTAAATGCATACTGCCAGTTTTATCCTTATTCCTCCCATAAATCTGAATGCAGTGTTTTCCTTTATATTATTTATATAATGATGAGTAAGGTGAACTTTCAGATTTTGCAGATTTTATTCAAATTTTTATGTACCTTTCTGGAAACTCCTGTGGCAACGAGACAAATTACCTTTCCCATAGTCCATACAAATTAGGCACTGCAGTCCCACTTTTTAATGAATATATATACTCATTTTATGTGGTGATATATTTTGATTAATTGTAATGACAAATATGTTCATATTTTTACCAAATGTAAATTAGATACCTCCTGGCCATATCTTCCTGTTACCTACCACTTTGCAGTACTAAAATGTTCTATTTGGAAACACTTTACCATCCCTAAAAAGTGGTACTCCACACACTCCACACACACACACACACACACACACCAAATCTTGAATTGTGTATATGTTCGCATCACTTCCAAAAGTATTTTACATTTATGCACAATCTTGTCCCACTAAAGACAATGGAAGTTTTATCAGGGAAGTTAATGGGCTTTGGATTAGGCCCCAAAATGAGTGGAATTTCTGAAATGCCAATCAATGATAGTATATGTGACATTCTGTACAAGGTGGCAAAAGATTACTCTAAGGAAGAGCCCCATTTAAGTCAATGGGGCTCTTTCCCTCAACTTCAATGGGCTTTAGATCAGGACCTCAATGCCTGGACACTCATGAATACTCTCATTTTCATAGAGTTTCTGCATTCTCTCTCATTTTGGGCCAGATGCTGCATTCCATGCAAACTCAATATTCCCATTGAGGTCAGTGGGGTATTTTAGGTGCACAAGGAATGCAGGACTGGGAGCTTTACTGACAGTCTGTGTATAAGCACTTCCACTAAGAAGACCATACACTCTCTTATTCATTAGATTTTCTGTGTGACTGCATTGGCTTTTAATTCACAATGGTAAAATCCCACTATCAAAGCCTCAATTCAAAGCCCGCTGAAGTCAACAGGATCCATTGACTTCAATGGGTTTTAGATTAGACTCTAAGGGTGAAGTCAGTGGGACTTTTGCCATTGACTTCAATGGGGCCAGGATTTCACCCTAAGTGTTTTATTAGTAAAATGCATAGGTTATTTCTAGCTAATGCAGACTACTTTAGGATTCTGCCAGGCAAAGTTTACCCGCCTCATGGAACAGTTTCTGTGACTCCAAAAAGCTTAACTTTGCATATAATAATTAAAACTAATCAAAGACAGCATGTGAGCGTCATAGTTTGAAAACCCAATGGTCAAAAAAATCCAGCTAATATATTAACTTTTATTATGTAATGCAACATAATAAATAAATCTATGAATTCATACGACCTGTACAAAAAGACAAAAAAGTTAGGTACCGGCTATTTGGATTGAATATTTGCTAAACAGATGATTTATAATTATATACACATTTGTGGAGTTAAGGCAAAAACAGATGATACCGTTGACACAACAGAAGACTTGAAAAATAGACATAATTAAAAACAAGGGGTCTCATCTCCAGCTAATAAAGTGGGTATGTCTAAGGAAGGCATCCCTTCGGTTTTTAATAAAGTGGATATTATCAATCATGTTAATTAAAGTTGAAGAACAAATGTGAGCTTTCCTGCAGGGCAAAGCTGTTTTGCAGAGATATGCTGGACTGATCACTTTTAACCCTGATAAGCACTTTTTTAGTATTATAATCTGCACTACATGTCCAATTAACACACAACTTCTTAGCTTTCAGTAGGGGAGTCTTCGTTATGATCATTGACTGGGAGTAAATATATTGGTGAACCATCCAACCCACTACATGTAGAGGAGAAATAAAGTCAATCACTTATCAATAATAATAATCTTTCTCAAAAAAATTGAATAAATTATGTCTATAGTGTCCAAAAGAACAAAAATATGTATAACCAAATATATCAATATACAGTTCTTTGGCAGCAACACGCTAACTCTTGATTGAAGTCTGAAATCAAAATCTCCTAAATTATAGACCCAGTTGCCAGTCTTTTAAAAAGAAAAGAAAATCCACTTCTCCCATGAATCCAATAAGTCCAGTAAATGAAATCTGAATAAATCTTGCAGGCAGCTTTAGACTGTAACATTAAGCATAGATATTTATGGTCTGCTTTAAGTCTTAATCCAAATATACTGTATTTAAACACACAAAATTCTGTGAAACTTCGTAGTAGTTCAGATAGGGCCAAAATCCATAAATAGAATCCATATTCACCCATGAGAAACCAATAAAGAAACATCAATCCCAATGATGATAAAATGATCTTCAAATAACAGAGGCAATGACTGTTCCACACCTGGATGGATGTCACAGGGAAGTTGACTTTTACAGAGGGAAGACCAGAAACCCAGAAAATGTAGAGTACTGCCATCCACCAACTAGATTACCTTTCTCTAGTTTCAGGTAAACCTTATCCTCCTTGTCTAGATAGAGCAGGACTCCATTAGTTGCAGCTTCACGAGTGACATCTTTGTCCCCAGCAAAGGCAGAAATTACTGGTTTTCCATTTAGCATTAGATTAACCTACAAGAAAAAAACCCACTGAAAAGTTGTAGTTAACAGAGAAACATCTGACAATATCAAGTATCTAAAGAGTGGTGGGACCTGGTTCAAATCCCATTATACAGCATGTATACATTATTTCCTTTCAAATGAGTAATTAAGGTTAATATGACTGTTTGTTGTCAAGTGTATTATTGTTTATGTGCCTATTGCAAGCTCATTGGTGTCAATGGGATGCTGTCAATGCGCTTTGGCTCAGATAATATGCTAGTTCCTCTAAGTAATATGGACTTTCCATTCATGATTATATACAAGCTTTAATATTTTAAAGATATATAGGAGCTCCCCATCCACTGATAATGATCTGGCAAGATGAAGCTGTAAGACACTTGCATCACCTTAACCCTCTTTGCATAGGTCATTTAGATATCTCACTGCATGTACATATCAGTAGAGGAGGCAGATTTTCAAAATATTTAGGTACACAAAGATGCAGATAGGGGCCTAGTGGGATTTTTCAAAAGCCCCTAAGCAGGTTAGGCACCTCACTCCCACTGTAATCACAATATATTGCTCTTCGGTTTTTTACTGCAATTTGGTTTTAAAATCTAGAACAAATCATCATCTTTATATGCCACTCCACTGTATTTCAGTAATGATTCTATTCAAACCTTTGTCATGCACAAATGCCTAGGCTTCTGAACCCACTTGGATGCAAAGAGCTGGTCAGAAAATGGAGGAGAAAACACAAATATTTTCTAACTTTTAAATAAATTGGTGACATTTATTTTTTGCCAAAAATTAGTTACCAAACATTTCTTAGAAGCCTTAACTGTAATGCAGTCACAGAGGGATAGACTGTGAAATGGTTGTTCATATTAAGTATTCCCAACTGGTGAGTGCTCCCATTAATTTTAATAGGAGCACTTGTAGAATAAGGCAGCAGAATCTGGCCCTTAATTGGGATTTCCTTATCTTGGAAATCCACTTAATCAGATGTCTCCAGGGAACCAATTTCACTCTAATGACACTAACAGATGTTTCAGGGACATGGTAATTCCAGTTATGTAGGAAGTGATTCAGTGGTGCTCAAGTCTGTGTGGCTCTGAGACTCAAGCTGGTTTAGACTGTTAGCGCCACTGCAATAGCTTCCAGTCCCTCCTTAGCTGTGATACATGCAAAAAGTGCATGAAGGGTTTGATCACTGCCTGTTCCCTGCTACTATCTTACTCCCTGTGCACCAGTTCCCATGTTGGGCATCTCACAGGTGTCCTTGTCACAGTACTGGAGAAATAGCAGGCTTGGTCCCTATCCCATTGGAGAGAATACCTCTTTCCAATTATTTGGACTTTTAACATGAAGGGCTTACTGAAGTTCAACAGTTGACTTAGATGCCAGCATTATTACTGGCTTAAGAATGAAAGGCCATTTACCAGTACAACCTGATTGAGAGAGTCTATTGTATTTAATTAAATAGAGCTAAAAAGGCAGCTATGCAAAAGATGCAAACTTTGGACCTGTACTACTCATACTTACATTGGTATATGTCCACCGGATTTAATGGAGCAATTCCTGATCTAAACCCGTGGAAGTGAGAGAAGAATCAGGCCCTATCCATGTAAACATCATGACATTATTTTAAAGTGATAAAACAGATATTTTCAAATGTGACTAGTGATTTGGGGTGCCTTCGCTTTGGGATGTGTTGTTTGAGACACTTCAAAGGGATCTAATTTTCAGAGAGTGAGAGAGTTTCAAGGAGTCTCAGGCTGGGCATCCAAAAATTGAGGCACTCAAAATCTTTGGGCACTTTTGAAAATCTTGGCTTCAGAAATTACTCCTAAATACATAATTTTGTTGTGTTTCACATTCAGTTACAGGCCCGAAACCCACAGTTCTGAGCATTTTAGCCCATATATATGAAAGTATGAGCTGAAATTCCATGGGAAACCATGCTGTGATTGCATTGTCCCATAACAAAATTCACATCTTATCTCCTCCTTTGCCAACAGGTGTGTTAAACACATAGAAGATTAATGGCACAGTGTTTCTAGAACACATTTAATCTTCCATCAAATACACATTTAATAGGGTAGAAAGAACAAAAGTATGAGCTAAATATATAGCCTTTAAATAGATTATGGATGAAATCCTGACCCCACTGATGTCAATGGGAGTTTTGCCATTGACTTCAGTGGAGGCCAAGATTTCACTTCATATTTTTAGGATGAAATTCACCTATGATGCAGAGGATTCTTGCACCAATCTGCTCCATTGAATCCTGCACAGGGGTGTACAGGCATCCTACAGGCAGAGCAACCACCCACAGGTGCCTGTGCATCATATACCTGTGGCAGAAAAGGTCTCCCCACCCTCACATAGGCCAGTACAAAAGGCCATGTTCAGGGAAGACCAGAGTTAGAAAAGAGGCAGATCAAAGAGAAACCACAGATCATGTTTTCCATGGATCCAGTGGTCTCAATGGAAGCTTCAGCCACTATTCCAGCATACCAGCTCTGTGATGAGGGACTGCACGGTAGCCCCACAGTCTGACCATGGGGTGAATTTCACCCTTTGGGAGTTAAGCTCTTGGCTTAATGGGAGGAGTTTCAGGATCCTAGAGGTTGGTTCTCGGGGCTGGTGTGTATGTCAGAGTATGAGCTCAACATTGCTATTGAACTGCAAAGTAAAGTATAGTTTTCTGTGTTTTTCCAACATAACACAGTAAAATAATAGCAAACCCCTCTAAGACAGCCACCCCCACCACCATCATCACTGCAGATTTATAATATTATAGTAGTGGCCCAGTGAAATCAAGTAAAATAGTCCTGGCCCACAGTAAGGCCATTTTTTAAACAGCTACCTGATGTCATCATGTGGTTTCTAGAGGTTCATGTTAGAAAAAATTACCAATAATGAAGATGATTTATTTATACAGAATGTGTCCCCAGAAACCTAGACATCATTACAATGGATTTCACCTAGTTTCTAACTAGCAATATAAGATTGTTATGAGGGATTCACTCAATTGAGTTAAATTAAAAAGTGTATTTTAGTCATGGGTGACCTTTATATTTATTATTTTAAACAGTCTAGCCCAGATCTTCATCCGGTGTGAATGAACAGAGCAATGAAGCTATGAAGGTTTACATCAGCTGAGGATCTGGCCCTACATTTGTTGTATCCATTCATTTCAATGGTGTACACTATACTGTACAATTAAGGAATGTAATACAATAAAGTCACTGGGCTTCTAAATGAACCAAAAAATGCTCTTTTTATGTGAACCATGTGTAATGATATTTTGTTTAGTCATCATTTTATTCTCATTCTAGAATGTAAACAATTTACATATACATTTCTCACGTTAAATCAACATACCTGGATTGTTTGACTCTGATAGACTTTAATTACATGGAAACTGAAACTGTAAATTCCTTTTCTTGGTGCTACAAAGACAGACTCCAATGTGAAAAAATTGCCCACATTTACTAGGATCTACAAATAAAAATACATAATAGGAATTAATACAATTATTCAATATAAAAGAGCAAGACATTCAATCACATTTTTCTCCATCTAATTGCATGACTTACAGAATTCTGTTTTTATTCTTATATTCACTGACATTAAAATATGGAATATAAAATTATGATTTGGTTTCATTTGTAAGTCATATTTATCAGTATAACTTTAGTAAAAATCAACTAGCATAGAAATACCTGTCCAACTTGGCTGCCTGTAGATATCTTCAAATATTAGACCTATCTGTGGGTATAGTAGGTATTAGATAATTAGGGGGATAGCATATCTTCCCATTAGTCCCACAATACCTACTCAAAACACCAATAATTGCAGAAGTAACGTATTAGCATTGGCCAATCAGTACTGGTCAAGGCAATGCCATCATCCCTGAAAGTATCAAGCTATGAGGCAGTACGTATATGAATGACATCATTCATGACACTGGGTTGAAGGTGGATTGAGTTGCCAAAATACCTGACCTACCTATTTTAAACAACCCTGGATTTACAAATATTTGCTATTTCTCTTTTCTGCTCTATCTCTAACTGTAAACACTTTTCTAACAACTTAGACTTTCTTAAATGACTAAAGGCAAGTAACCAAGGAGAAGACATTAAACAACTACAACCTTCACATGTTAAATATCTTCTATAATGAAGTGTCTTCTTTCTTCTGAATTATTTATCCTTTATTTTAATTCATATTTTCAAGTTCTCTTAAAGAAACACACTTCCCAAAGAGTCAGTGGGAATAACCAGGAAGTTTGCTTAATTCTAGCATTCTAAATTACCCTATGTGAGGTATCTTGATATGATATAGTAAGGAAAATAACTCTCAGTCGCAATTATTTTGGATCTGCTCTAGCACCAGGCTGGTAGATGAAACAGGAGTGCAGGTGTGTGTGTATTCATAGGTACGACTGAGATGAAAATAGTAGTATTACAAGTTATGGATTTTAGAGGGAAAAAATCATTTGAAATTTTGTGAACTAATTCCCAGGAATTAATGAAACAATGTTGAAACTTTGGGTGCATCAGCTGCATCTGAAAAAACACCTTTTAAACCTCTCCCTGTCTTTCCTTTCACATAAAAAGGGCTAACTCTTGGTTGCTTTGCACATTTCCAAGTCTCCTACACATCCCCATCGGTCTTCTTGTATCCTGAAAAGATTATTGGCAATGTGATGAATAAACTCAAGAATTCTAAGCACATTTTGTCTTTACTTTAGTGCAGAAAAGCCTAGTGACTGCCCTTCTCTAGGCTGAGTATAGGAGTCTCTGAACCTTAAAAAGAGTAATTTAGTAGGATCAATTAACAAGCAGTTAATCATTCCAAGTAGCTAGCTAGGCTTCATTAGCTATTTTATATAATATCCAAGGGCTGAAATTAGTCTTTCTGGTTACAGAGTGGGTAAGGCAGCTCACAAGACTTAATGTAAATTTCAGAGTGGAGTTGACTTCACATAATGACTATGTCTATCTCAGCTATATTTATCATTTATCCTAAGACACGTATTTATTTCTGTGAAGGAGACCTCCCTTCTCATTTATAACTGACATAAAGGTTCTAGAAGAAGAGCATGATCTCTTTTAAATCAAAAACCCCACAGTGTTTTGGGGTTTTGGGGTTTTTAATTTAAGAGGAATTTTTTGCAAAGGTGATTTTATTTTGTCTGCAAAGACTGAGGTTATGTGTTTGACTGGGGCTGGGGGCGGTTACATTAGGGTTTTAAAATGTTTAAAATTTCAGACAAATGATTTTAAATATTGTACTGATACAACTAAGATGTGATGGGTATTTTGGAAAACTATATATGTGCCCTGTGTTTTCAGGATTAACTAAATGTAATCTATACAAATGATAAATTAGTGGCACTGCTTTTCCTTTCCACCTTCTATACTGCACATGTGTATTCTGATATAAGGGGACCAAAAAGCTACTCTGGTCGGGGTGTTATTGAAGCTGTAGGTAGGCTGCAAACCTCAAGGTAGCTCACAGTCTCCTTGAATACTCCCTTCTGGCTTTACAGTACTAAATGAAACGATGTTTCATAAACTTAACTGAAATATCACAGGACCATAACACGTGAAGAGTGTCCACATAAACAATGGGAGCTGAAGGCTTTTTTAAAATGTACATAAAGTCTCTGTTCCCCCCTCAACTATCTGAAAACCTGCTGCTTGTCTAAATTGCCCTTAGTCGAGCCTTTAGATGCATGCAACTTTTTTAAAGTACTTGAAGGGTCAATGCTGTTCTGGACTTCAGAGCGAAGCGAGAATTCTCCTGCCTGGTCTGTGCCGTGCTGGCATTTCAATGAAGCCGATCTCCATCGGGTGAGCTGAATAAAATACCAGACTCCAGTGAGTGCTGGAGACCCAGAAAGTGCGGCTCTGAAATACCCAGCAATGGCCAAGCCGGCCTCTGAGTAACTTTCCAGCCGCTCACTTTCAGCGGGGACCCTGGATTTTAACAAGCTCGCAGCTTTGCTCACACCTGTTGATTAGCCCCGTTGTCGAAGCCGGAGCTAGTCCCGGCTCGCCGGCTGGATGGCAAGTCCCCTGGCCGGGGAAGTGGAAATGTCTCCTTAACACTTGGGCACACACGGGTTCCCTAACGCCTCTCCTCCCCTCGCCTGCTTGTGTTGGATCGATTCAAATCACGCACGCCCCAAAAACACAGTGTGGGGAGCACGTTCGTTACCTGATCGAAGTAGATGATCCGGGTTTTGTTGCTCATTTCCGAGGGCTCGTGGTTGGTGCTCCTCACGGCCGAGAAGGCGACCTTCGAGTTCGCAGCCCGCACCGAGATCCCCAAGGGGGAGGAGGACGAGCCCTTGGCGTCGGTGGCCGGGTTGGAGTCACAAACCACCAGGCATTTCCCTTCCAGGACGATGGGCTCCGTGTCGTTCTGCGCCCAGACCGGGAGGCTGGGGAGAGCCAGGGCGAGAATCACGGTAGGGACCATGGACAGCGCCCTGGTTGAAGCGCCCATGTTCAGCACCGTCGGCAGGCAGCGTGTAGCGCCCCAGCCTCTCCTTCCACCTCTCCACAAACCCAGCAGCCGCAGCAGCTTCGCACGCACGCTTCCAGCAATTCGGGGGGTAAAGTCAAAGTCTTCCCAGCTGCCTTTTTAAAAAAAAAACAACCTTTGTCCTTTAACGATCTCCTGAAAATACCCCCCAAAAGCAAACAAACATCCACGCTTCCCAGCGCCCCCCCGTTTGGCTTCCCCCCCTCCACATTAAAAAAAAAAGCCCTAAGGTGAATTATTGATGAGCGAGAGAAGCGCGAGAGATCAGGAAGAAATAAAAACATTTGCCGTGGCCATGATTCCCTCTGTCCGATCCTGCTCGCCCCCTCTCGTCCTGCTGGAGGCTGGAGGCGGAACTGGGCTGTTGATTCCAGAGGTGGGCGCTTGCCCCCACAGCTGGCCAAGATTCGGTGTCTGATATCACTGCCGGGGCGCTTGCAAAGCGGAGTTCTCTCTCTCTCTCTTGGCCACAATTCCCAGAAGAGTTATGTCATAGTAAACCTGCCCAGCTATCCCCTATTGGAACAGAGAAAGCCTGAGACTACAGTCTCTCTCTCACACACACACACACACACACACACTTGTCGTCCCAGACGTAACTTCTTTCAAGAGCCTAGGAAAAAAACAATAAACATTTTACACCCCTTGAATACGTGCAACGTTTTGTGGTTGTTGGTTTATTGCTTTCAAAGGCAGAAAGGGAAAATATTGACCTCAAAAAAAAAGCTTCCTGGAATACAACTTCCAGAGCAGGGGGAAGCTGCCAGGACAATGGTCTAATGCTGCTGTGAATGTGCAATGGGTCAGGAATTTGTAGCACAATGGCATGACTTGATTTTGACTGGAACATCCTGCAGTGCACACTTCTGCCGGCTACACCAGGCAGATAGATGTATACACACACACCTCTTCATCGCAGCATGTGAAGGAATGCAGCCCTACTCAAAAACAAACGCTGACCAATGATGGGCTAGAAAATGAACATATTCTTTTGGACTTCCCATCTCTGAAGATTAACGGCCCTGGATTTTATTTGATGGCGCTACCAAGTGGCTCCTTTTGGTAACGTTTTTGTAAGAGACTGCATATGAGTTGAAGGGTGTTTCTTTTTAGTGTATCCTGAAAGGATGAACATAGGATGTTAGAGGAGTAGGCAAGTGGCATTGCCTCGGATTCCCTATTTCAAGGTTGTTTTAAACCTGGCTGGGTTTTGTTTTCTGGAGCACATATTTCCTTGCAGTTTCCTCCGGCAAATGGCAATGGTCCATTGATATTCTAGTTGCACGACCCTCTACGTATTCTGGCCATTGGTTAAAAAAAGGTGCAGTCCTTCTAAAAGCTGAACACGATACAATAGATCTTCTTCCCTAACAACAGCAAACAGTGGCCTATTTTGAGAATATAGGTACAGCATATTTCTATGAATTTAACATTACGGTAGCACACCAGTCTTTGATCAAATTGTTAAATAACAATAGCATTCATTCCTTTCTTGTTCAATAATAATATTTTGTCTGGCTCCATCTTTCCTGTCTCCTAAATGCAGGGGATTCCTGGATTGGATTTTGATTCACATGTGGAAGATTTGATGCCATTGTGTTGAGCAGGATGGTTGGGAAACTGACAGTTCAGCTATTGGCTCAGCTCAGTTTGCAAGCAGAAGCTGGCTACCGTCTTGTGACAAAAAAGACAAAATAAAAGGGTTCAAGAAGCCTTTCAGGAGTCTTAAAAAGGATTTGCTGAGAAACCTTCCTAAGTCTGAAAAACTCACCATCTGCTGAACCGTGTTCTCAGAGCAAACACGGTGGAGCAGTGTTTTAGGAAAACATGCTGGGTGTATTGAAGTCAATGGGACATTAAGTCCATGATTGTTTGCAAAGTCTTTGAAAAGCCATGAGCATATAAAATGCTTAGATTTTAGACTCCTGAACTTTAATAACTATCCAGGAATAAATGTCATTCTTCATAAACTACAGAAAGCAGGACTCAGATTTAAAGAAGTCTCAGTGTTATTGTTTTCAGACTGCATGTGGATACCTTCTCCTTAACCGGACACTGACAGAGATGAATAGGACAGTCAAATTGAGAAGAGCCAGAAGCAGTAAGAGACAAGAACAAAAAGAGGTGAAGAAGACTCATACCAAAATATTGCTCTTTATGTAGAAAGTCTGCAGCTAAAAGGTTCTTACCACATGGCAACATCTGTGTAGTGGATTCTTTTGCCAAATACTAGTGCTGTGTGAAAACAGTAAAAAAAAAATCTGTGAAATTATGCACATGCAAAAAAAATTTACAATTTTATTCCACATTATTTCACCAGTCCCGCGAAAAGGTTATCTACTTCATGCCAAAAACAATGTTGTAGTTCAGGTGCATACAGAACTAGTCAAAAATGCAGTGAAAAAGTTGTGATTTTTTTCAAAAAGAATACTATTTTTACATTCTGAAATTTCAAAATTTTGAAAAGTTTGAAAATTCCATCAAAAATTTCCAAATATTGAAAAAATATGAAAATGTCTTCATTTTTTCCATTCAAAATAAAAAAATGTCAACAATAATTTCCATTGGAAAAAATCAAATTGAGAAAATTTTGACCAGCTCAAGTGGAGAAATCAGAAATAGGAAAAAGGGAGGACAGAAATGAAACCTTGTTCATTGTACTGGTCAACATAAGTAAAGCCATCATGAGAAATAAGAGAGTGAGGAAGATAAAATATGATCCAACTTTTAAAAAGTTGGTTTCCTTTTCCTTTTCTGAACCTGCAACTTGCAGGCACAAATATTTGGAGGCTCAATTTTGCAACCACAATTTTCAGATTTAGCATATCTCACCTTGGATGTCTAAATACCTAATCAGATAGAGACATGCAGGCACGAAAAGGGAAGCTGGGTTAAGGTTAGTCTGAAAAGCATAGACATAATTTACCTTCTATATTGTGGGGGGACAGCTCCAGCCAGGCCAATGGGGCTGTGCATGCAGGGGGAGGGGTGCGAATTCCATGCCTACCCAAGGCTTGCAGAGCTGGGCCTGCCAAGGGGTCGCCACTGGTCTGTGGGGCCAGGCACCTGCCCCGGTGTTTGTTCAGGTCTCGCACACGGCCCCGGGGGGGATTTAAGCAGGACCATGGCGTGGTTAATGCACAGGAGCCCCCAGCTGGGGGGTGGGGCTTCAAAAGGCCTGGCTGGAAACCATGCAGCCTCCAGGGGCTCGGGGAGTGAGGCTGCCTCACTACTGTGTATGGGTTTCCTGCTGATTTAGAGCTTGCCCCATGCTCGGTCACATGGTGCCACCAGGCCCCCTCCCTGCACAGCAGCTGGCAGAGCCAAGCCAGTCAAGGGACCATGGAGACCGGACAAGCTATGCTACAAGCTGCACCCTGTGGGAAGAGGCAGGAGCAACAACTGGGCACTGCAGGGAGGGGCCGCTGCTTTTCAGGAGAGGAGACTGAGGGCAAGGGGTGGGGGAGGGGTCATTGCCCAGGGGGACTATGACTCGAGCTGTGCAGTTGATGGCCAAACCTTTAAATTGTGTCCCCCCCATCAATGTACACAGTTTGACAGTGCCCCCCCCCCAACTTCGTCCACCAGGCGAGTGAGTGATCATCCCTTCAGGCTAATCAAATGGGAAATCAGGCAAGGAGCTGCCAAGCAGCCTGGCCTCCTTGGACCCCCACGCATCCACCTGGGATGGGGGCACCACAGGGCATGCGTGGCCCCACAGTTCAGCAGGGACATGGGCAAGCGAGAGGGCAAAGGGGTCAGGCCACTGCCACAGCCAGCCCCCACTGACACCCTCCACCTCAGCAGCCCGCTGAGTGCCTTGAGCTCATCACCTGGCAGCCCTGCCCCAGTCACCCAGCCAGCAACCTGGGGTGCCTCACAGGCACCCCTTGCCCAGGAATGAGGGAAGGGCCCGGGGGCCCTGGCTGCCAGTGCCAGGCAGATGCCAGGCCTAGCCATTACCTGATCACAGCATTGTCCAGGCAGAAACAGAGCAGCACTGCCGAGCCCCGGTCCCTGGGGCCCATACTCCAGGGGGCCCAATAGCCACAGATCACAAGGTGTGGCGGCTCGGAGGAGGAATGGCCATGAACCCTCCAACCTCCTCCAGCTGCGCTGGGAGCTGCCACCTCTTGGGGCCGGCCTCTTCTCCTCACCCTCCACCCGGCAGCTCTGCTTCACCTTCTGGCACCTGACACCACTCCACCTGTGGGGGGGGGCTGCTGGCTGGCTCCTGGCATGGGATTCCTCATCGCTGACCACTTCCCAGTCAGACATGGCAGCACCACATGCCCTGAGGGTGGGAGGGGGCCTGCTTGGGGAGGGGGGGACTGACTCAAGCTGTACAGGGGGCAGCTGAACCTTTAAATTATGCCTCCCACACTAACAGTATATATAGTTGCAGGGGGGCTATGCCCTCCCATGCCCCCCCAAACTCCACCCATGCTGAAAAGTAGGCCTTACTGGTCTAATTTTTTTTTTAATTGTGCACATGTTTTGTGCATGCAGGTATCTTGATTGCACATGCAAATCAGTAGCTGATCATGCAGATAACTAATTATGGCCATTTGTGTGTGCAGTTATCTAATTTCACTACTTAATTGTAGTAAATATGAATGCAAATTAGGAACATAATTGGATATACTTTTTGCATGCACAGCTATATGCCTAACTTGTTTAAAAATCAAACTTTTCATAAATAAAGTGCTTCAGCTCACAATCTATTCTGGAAGAATCATCCAAAAAATGTAACAAAATATGGCTAAAACTGTCTCTCAATTTGCACAGTAAATTCCAAATAAGAAAAATACTAATAATTGACTTTAAAGCCCTTATCAGTTGCTGTCATTCTGTGAACAAATAGTGAGACATCTAACTTCAGTTTCATATTTCACTTGAAAGATGGCACCTCTGGCATCATCAGGGCTGTTACAGACACTGGAGGTGGTGTGGTCTAGTGGCTAGGCTGTTAGAGCCCTGGGTTCTATTCCTGGCTCTGATAACTTGTGTGTGTGTGACCTTAGACATGTCCCCTCAGTTTCCTCATCTGTAAAATGGTTCTGATAGAACTTACCTGGCTATATGA